AATACCAGCAGAAAGATCAGTTCTTTTTTCGAAACAAGCATTTATTTAAGCTAAGTGCGGCTGCTCGACATTGGAGCGACTTCACTGGATTCTTTGCAGAAGTGGAGACTCAGGTCAGTGACTTCAGAACTTAAACGGGAACGACTAGGGAACATGAAAGCCACAAACCTGGCAAAGTTAAGTCTGAGCCCGGAATAAGGAGTGAAGGGGGCAGAGGACTAGAATTAGTCTCACCTAAACTGGAATAATCTGGCACCAATGGCTGGGAACAGGTGTATCTGATTAGAGATGATGAGCACAGGGCAGAGCAAAGCAGAGAAAAAGGAGGCAAACCAGCCTATGGTGCCAAGATCATGACAGGAACTCTCAGTCAGTCTTCACCTGATTGTCTGCCCACCTGCCTTCCTTTGCCCACCCTCACAAGGTTCTCATCTGTTTCCCACTGAGGGTCCGCTTCATTAAGGACCATCCCAAACCAAGTAGTGGGTAGGGCGATTGGACCATTCAGCCCTTAAATAGCGAGTCCGCATCAGTGCAGGCTGGTAAGAGTTTAGCAGCAAACAGGTGCAACAGCAAACTAGTGATGGAGGAAACACATTCCTCCAAATGTAAGTTTGACTATTTTTTTGCATCTTCATCAGCTTGACAGAAAATAACAAGTTAGGAAAAATAAAAAAAAAACATAATTTTTAGAAGGGAAGGTTCATTTTGACAAGTTTTATTTGACTGGATACATTTGTTTTAAGAAAGGGGCAAATGTTTGATATCTTTCCAACCTGCTCCAAAGAGCTACAGCCATGCACGTGGGGTGTCACTGTGTTGCCATAGCAACGACTGCATTCCTTTTCTGATGGAGGGAAGAAGCCGTCCCCATCACGTTAATACCCTCCCACCTTCAGTCGAGATGCCTTCCACAGCTGAGAGTGAGTTTATCGGGAGCGGGGTGGTAGTTAGGGGGCAGTTTGGGATTCAGCCTTGGACTGCCTCTGCTTGCTGCCAACCTATCCAGTCTTCATCCTCCTGTTCAGCCAGTCAGCAGCCTGTTCAGCCAGTCAGCAGCCTGTTCAGGCAGTCAGCAGCCTCTTCAGCCTCTCAGCCACAAGTTTAGAAATTCACCAGGCTGTTTCATCCTTTCATCAGCCTGTTCAGCCAATCACCAGCCTGTTCAGCCAGTCACCAGCCTGTTCAGCCAGTCACCAGCCTGTTCAGCCAGTCACCAGCCTGTTCAGCCAGTCATCAGCCTGTTCAGCCAGTCA